GAGGAAGATTTTGAGGATGAGGATGACAAGTACTCCTCGAATTTTGTTTGATCGAATTCGTATTCGATCTCTTCAGTGACGATGATTTTGATCGGCTGCGACACTGCGGCCTCGGCAGCGAGGCCGCTGGCTCCCACTGTGGTCGCCAATTTATTTTCAGCGAAAGTTGACTCCATTGTCGATTCCATTAAACTTTGATTTGTTTACACGAAATTACAATGAAACTAAACAAAAATTACAACTCTCGAGAAAATAACACAGAAATTGTTTATCAACTCCTGCTTTGTGGGACTTTGCCTGTGCCGTGAGTGCTTTGGCTCGTTGACCACCGATTCAAAGATCGTGAGGGTGCTTAGGGATCTCTCCTTCGTTTATCGAAGTAAAGATTTGAAAACGAATATCTTATCGATGTAAGATATCCGTTCTTCCAAAGATCAAGTCTGAGCTTAGATCTCTAGGAATCACCGAATGATGCTTGTCAAAGGGTGATAGTTCTCTCTCTTCTTCCAAATCACTGAAAGCTCAAGCCTCTTCTGCTCCGAAATGCTCCCCCTCCTTTATTTCGTGTGTAGGGAGGTATTTATAGGGGTCTCAGTGCACCACAGTTGAAACGGGGGCAAAATAACTGACCGAGTGTTTTCTCTTTGGCCGCTGCAGTCTACACTGCCGCGGCTATTGGCGCGGCAGTATAGGCTGCCGCGGCCAAAGAGACGGTTATCAGCACGTTCCATCGTGCTTAAAACCGTTCTCCCACGACCTTTAACCACTTTTTTCGTGGTTTAACTGCTTGTCCACGTCAGCACACGTTCTATTTCTGATATGCTGCCACGTAGGCCTCAAAAAATCATCATATAACTGCCTTGTAACCACCACAGCCAGGCCAGAGTGGTACTCTTCACGCCTCCTTTCGCGGCGACTTTCTGGTTAGAGAGGCTCGCCAGTTTAGTGAAGACTGTGATAATAGTGTTCCAGAGTTGATTCGTGAGGGAGGTCGTCGCACTCTGCGCGCTTTGCTGACCGACTCACCCTTAACTCCAACTAGAGATTCTACCGAGCCGTTGAAGAAGCCTGATTATCTGTTCGGAGATTCGATAGAAGATCCAGACAATCTTTGCCGTGGCCCTGAAATTTGGTTGAATGAACATGAAGGTTCTTTTCTATTCCTTCCTCCATTCCCTCGACATTACTCCCTTCTACAATTGAGGAATTTGGCTGTTTCGAGAGAAATGACGTGGCACTTGACAGAAGACCACGAGCGCGTTCATTGCGGATACATTGGTAAAGATATTAGCGCTCCTGGTTCCAAAGGTAGGTATAATATTCGTGGTCTTCACCCGGGGCTATTTGGACCAGATGGCGGGCCCCAGAATGAACTGATGATAAGGGCCAACACGGTAAAGAATAAGCTCGCTCGAGTTGGTCGAGAACTTCCCATTCCAAAATTCAGGTGTTATGGATGGGTTCATTCTCTTCCCGACAAATGGTGGGCTAGGATGACCAAGTATGTACTCAATCGTTGGGATCAAGAGTTAAGTAATTTGAGATTATATGCTCCGATCCGAGCCAGCATGCATGGTCTTCCAGTCAGCGTAGATCATTTCCTTGCTTTGTTTGAGTCTTATATTCCGGAGGCCAATACATTTCTTACCAAGTATGGGGAGTTAGGGCTTCTGCTCCACGAAATGATGCAAGTATCTGGACTGCCATTGGGGAACACTCCTTATCAAGAATATTTTCCCAACAATCGTCAGCTCATGAAGATGAAGAAGGCTGGCTCTCCTGCTTATGACATACTCTGGGAATTAACTTGTCACTATCAAATAGCGATAGCCAAGATTGAAGTAAAGAGTAAGAAGGCAGCTCGAGTCAGTTTAAAACAGTTCGCTGACTATTTGTTTCAGAATCTCGAGAGCCCGACCGGTGAAGCTGTCTGCGAATCACCGATTCTGACCCCTTCGGACGTTAACAGGCTGATTACGAAGATTAATGCCCAATCTTATAGAACCGAGTCATCTGAAGGCGGTTTTCTTAAGGGCACTAAATTCAGCACTTTCTTATGGCAAGCCATCAAGAGAATGAAGCATGCGACTCTTCTTTCTGGTTATCTGGCCATATGGCTAAAGAAATGTGTAGTGCCACATCAGTCTTCCGAGGCGCTTCCTCTTGAGGTTCTTCTTCCCGCCGTGCAATTAGCTGTTGGGGGTAGGTTATCCTTACTCTCCGCTATGATCGCTGACCTCCATAGCGGTTTGCGTAACCTATCTACCACTTTTACCAAAGTGGGTGCTGAGCCTTCAACTAAAATTCCATTGTCGAGCGTCGAACTGCCGTACACATATTTAATGGCGTGGCTAGTTCTCCATCGAGCGGACATGATGTCAGCACCTGACACGTCTGATCATGAAAAATAAACAAAATTACAACTTTCGAGAAAATAACACAGAAGTCGTTTATCAACTACTGTTTTTGTGGGACTTTGCTTGTGCCGTGAGTGTTTTGGCTCGTTGACCACCGATTCAAAGATCGTGAAGGTGCTTAGGGATCTCTCCTTCGTTTATCGAAGTAAAGATTTGAAAACGAATATCTTATCGATGTAAGATGTCCGTTCTTCCAAAGATCAAGTCTGAGCTTAGATCTCTAGGAATTACCGAATGATACTTGTCAAAGGGTGAAAGTTCTCTCTTTCTTCCTCAAAGCTCAAGCCTCTCCTGTTCCAAAATGCTCTCCCTCCTTTATTTCGTGTGTAGGGAGGTATTTATAGGGGTCTCAGTACACCACAGTTGAAACGGGAGCAAAATAACTGACCGAGTGTTTTCTCTTTGGCCGCTGCAGTCTACACTGCCGCGGCTATTGGCGCGGCAGTATAGGCTGCCGCGGCCAAAGAGACGGTTATCAGCACGTTCCATCGTGCTTAAAACCGTTCTCCCACGACCTTTAACCACTTTTTCGTGGTTTAACTGTTTGTCCACGTCAGCACACGTTCTATTTCTGATATGTTGCCACATAGGCCTCAAAAAAATCACCATATAACTGCCTTGCAACCGCCACAGCACTCCTTTAACATAGCCGCGGCACCCTAGGTTGCAGCGCCTAAGCCGCGACAC